GTAACTAGCGTCAAATATTGCGAACTGACGATGAATGATCTGGTATAGCAGCATGAATTAAATGTTATCAGGAATATACACACAGATAGAGTCAGTATTCAATTAGATTTATTGAATTAAAAGAATGAATAATCAAAGAACATTTTTTAATGTAAGAACTTCGAAAATCTCTGCAAAACGAAATCCTTCTAGGAGAACAATAATTGTACGGTCTTTTATATTGGAATTTAAGTGAAAAGCTTCTACGCTGCAAATATCGTTGAAGCAACGTCAAAATTGGAAACGACATATAACCTTTAGTAACACAAATATCTTGCTCAACACGATTTGTAAGAAAAGGCAATGCATAGTAAATGTTTCAAGAAAACCTAATATAAGGAAACTCTAATGAAAATGCTTCAATTCAACGATGTAAATTTTGGAAGAGTTTGGTGTATAATTTCAAACCAAATCTTAGTCATCAAACAGTTACATGATGTATCCAAACATACCACGAACATTATAATAGAATTTTCAATGATAAATTAAAGACGTAAAAACTCATTTAAGAAACCGGGCTTATACTTTGGTAGGCATGTCTCTCATGTTGTCTTTATAAAATCTCATTCATTCTTTTAAGAGCATTACAAACCATAAATTCCAAATATTTGTGTCAACTCTTGATATGGTCATCTATGCCTTAGGAATTAGGGTTAACAAATCTTAGTGTTTCGAAAAATTAACTTTTCTTTTTTGTAAAACTGTGTTTCTAAGGCAAATTTATGCATTTATAATTTTGTCAGAATAATTTTTAAATCTTCTATTATAGTGAAGATAGAATGAAATTTTAAAAATAACTCTTGAGTGAATTAAATTATATTCAGGACTAGTCCTACACGTACCTTTTAAAAGGAAATTACCGTATTATTAATATTTCATGTCAACACAGGAGTGCTGACTACTGTTAAAAAACAAACAGGTAGGGATGTATAAAAATCAACGGCAATTCATAATAGGTACAAAAACATGTTAAAGATACCAGACCCATATGCAACTCTTGATGTTCCAGATGCGTAAAAGAGTGGTGATCTTTTCTAGCATTTAGATACTGAAGGAATATACTTGAATTTGGACCCAGAACAAAAACAACTTTAATATCATATTATGAATCGATAATCAACCTATTATTCATTCCAATACTAAACATTCCCTGATGTACTACCCATCAATATTTTATATATATTTTATATTTTATCTTTTCCTATTTTGTTTAGATAGAAGAGAAGATATATAATGTAGCAGAAGACTAATAACAAACATTTTTGAAAAAATTTACAATGACACATCATTTCACCAGATGACATTAAAGTCAGCAACTATAAGTCATCATTCGACTTTCAACAATGATCAAGACCCATACCGTATACCAAGCAATAAAACGCTTCAAATTGAAAAATGTACAACAACTTAAAAAAAGAAACGAAACATCCTTATTTATCTACAAAAGAATAAACTCAAAGCAAGTAAGAAAATAAATCAGTTCGTTCTCCATCACTGTATGTATAACTTACAACAAAGTTATTTTCATCTACCTGTGTACATTATTTGATTTTACGGCATTTTGTTCAAGGTTATGGTTGTCTTTCTGAATTTGTTTAACATCTCACCCCTTATTTTATTGATTTTGTATTTACATTGTGTCATAGATCAAATTTATTCGTTTAGTGTATGTTCACTTGTGGTAATATGTCTTTTGATTGACTTAAGTCATTTCAATTGATATTTTATAGTGTGTCTTTCTATATGATACTAGATATCATTGAGATGGGAGTCATCTCTGTGGGCCTTGCTGTGAATAATGTGTGGTAAAACATTTGTATCTTTATCATTGGACATGGGGTTGTCAACTAAAACCAAAGTTTTTGACCTTGACCTTTGACCAAAGAAGTTGTACATAAATTATGACACACCCTCTGGTGTTTGTTTATATACATATCAAGTATAAACTTTGAAATCATAACGGTTTTCACGATATAGAGCGGACACGATTTTTACCAAAGGACATGGGGTTGTCAACTAAAACCAAAGTTTTTGACCTTGACCTTTGACCTAGGAAGTTGAACATACATTATGGTTTCCCCGTTAGAAAGGTTTTACACTAGTAATTTTTTGTGCCCTTTATAGCTTGCTATTCGATGTGAGTCAAGGCTCCGTGTTGAAGACCGTACATTTACCTACATGTATAATGATTTACTTTTACAAATTGTGACTCGGATTGAGAGTTGTCTCATTGGCACTCATACTACATCTTCTTAAATCTTTGATAAGCAGCAACACACGCCAGGGACAGGCACAAATATAACATTTGTATAATGTGGAGGGATTTAGCGTCTTTTGCGTCTACGTTACAACATTGAAAATAAAAATAATACGGTATAGTCGATACAAAAATATGAAAGACAGCAGCAAAAAATCACAATTGAATTCATGCTTTTGACTTGGGAGAAGCACATATAGCATATACAGGGTTACGCCATTGTTATGTTTTTCTTTATCTTTAAAAATTAAATAACAAAAAGGGAAAAGTACTTTATAAAATGCCAACATCAAAAGTTCAAACACATCTAACGAATAGAAACAACGGTCATATTCCTGACTTGGTACACACATTTCCTTATGTAGAAAACGGTGGATTAAACCTCGTTTTTATAGGTAGCTATACCTTTCACTTGTTTAACAGTCGCATATAACTCCATTATATTGACAATGTTTGAACATTACAAACTGACATAATAGGTAAAAACGTCAACAATAGGGCACAGCAGTAAACATTGTAATACAGTGTCAATCACTATAATACGAATGACTGTTTCAACAAAAAACAAAATGGCATAATAAATTGAGAATGGAAATGGGAAATATGTCAAAAAGACAACAACCCGACCAAAGAGCAGACAACAGCCGAAGGCCACCAATGGGTCTTAAACTCAGCGAGAAAATTCCGCACCTGGAAATGGTCCTCAGCTGGCTCCTAAATAAAATTGTGTACTAGTTCAGTGAAAATGAACGTCACATTAAACTCCAAAACATATAAATGAACTAAAATTAAAAAACATACAAAAACTATCAAAGTCCAGAGGCTCCTGACTTGGGACAGGCGCAAACATATGTTAAGCAAAAATGAAAGACAAGAACTCAAAATTGATCAAAGCATAATAACAAAATGGTGGGATATATAAGAACCAATCCACGTCATACGTTTATAATCAAAAATGAATAAACAGTAACAGTTCAAAATACACAAGGACAAAAGATGGAATATTCAACACGTAGTTGAAATGATAAACATCTTCAGTACCTAGAATCTATAATTCAAGACCATTATGTAATTTTTTGTGAAGTTGATACGGAATATTTATGTTGTTGTGATACTGTTGTTTACCATTTAACTCTATGTGGATTGCTTCAATGAAGTTCTGGAAAACTTAACGGCATACCACTACCCCATTGTTGTCTGCTTTGTTGGTCGGTAGGAACACAAAATGCTTTGAAAGTTTTTATTGCATGTTTTTAACCTGGAACAAGGTTCTTGAAATTTTATTTTAATCTTGAACTTGGTGTTTAACGAACTATTTTATAAATTTGTTTTAATCAAAAGCTCCTGAATGATGTTAAGGTCACCTGTAAATACATTACAATTGAGATTATATCTAGATTTTGATGTTTTACAGTCTCATGTTATTGTCTATATAAGTTTCAGATATAACTGATGAATGATTGAAACTTCTTTTGTTTTGTATAGGCACTAGAAAATCAAAGGTGGTTTTAAGTTATGATAAACAAGAGGCTCTCAAGAGCCTGAATCGCTCACCTGTAATTTTTTTGCTTAAATCTTTCATCAATGATTATTTTTGCTTTTCAATATATATTAATGAATGGCTTAAAACTTCCATTGAAATGTTCTTTGTATCTGTCATATTTTCTTCAAAATCAAAGAAATTCATTTTACCCCAATGTTTCTATGGCTATGTTTCTTGACGTACAAGAAAATAAAATACAAAAATTATACTTGATACTCTGAAACTCATTCAGCCCAAGTTTGGCTGAAATTGATTCAGCAGTTTCAAAGGAGTAGATTTTTTTAAAGTAAGCAAACTAAATGAACAAATTGTGAAAAATTGATTTTAAAGGACAATAACTCCTTAAGGGGCCAATTAACAATTTTGGTCATACGAACTTATTTGTAGATCTTACTTTGCTGAACATTTTTGCTCTTTATAGTTTATCTTTATCATTCATAATATTAAAGATAATAACCAAAATCTGCAAAATTTCCTTAAAATTACCAATTAAGTGGCAGCAATTTCACAATGGATTGTTAGATTCATCTGAAAATTTCAGGGCTGATAGAGCTGGCCTAATAAACATTTTTACCTCTCATCAGATTAGCTCTAAATGCTTTGTTGTTTTAGATATAAGCCAAACATTGCATTATATTTAAGTCCTGAAGTAAAGTTATATTTTGGATTGAGCATGACATAAAACGTTTAGCCTAAATAGGGATACTAAATTCCGAAGAAATAAACTTGTTTATAGTCTGTATATAAGTAATTGTACTTGTCATAAAGTCAGGTAAAGGAACATGTATATTACTTGTACTATTTTAGAAAATTTAGCATATAATGCATCAGTTTCACTTAAAACTTATTAAAGGAACAGGACATTATTCGTGATTTCTTATATTTAACTGTGAAGTCATTTTGTTTAACACCATCAACAAATGAACGATTGGGGTATGCATAATACTTTTTATTTCAATGGGAATAGTTACAGATCCATATAACTTTTAACAAATGAATCCGATCGCTCCTTTTTGCAAGTAAAACATAATGATCAGATGACAGATTTTGTTAGTTAATGGTTTCAAAGAAGCCATTTAATAATGTCCCGAAAAGATCACAATGAACACGATAAGAAAAATTGCCAGAGGTTTCCAACAAAATTACTAAAGTCTTACTTACTTTGTTTATTTCCAAAAATCCTGTCTTCATTTCTTTCTCTAACTGAGTTAATCTATTAAGGAGGATATCGAAATTTTCCATTACATTCTTGATTCTCATAGAATTTTGATCTGTTTCATCTGCTACCAGTTTTGTATATTCAGCTAAAACTTGTGTTTGTTGACGAATATCATTGACTAATTCCAGACCAAGAGTTGTACCACTCAAAAAATGTTTACCTGAACGAAAAAGGTTGAATAAAGCATTATAATTTACAATTTATAATTCACGGCTTAAAGTCTACATAATCTTTAGCCATGTCTTTTATGTTCCTAAATGAATTGAGGTCAATTTATGAAATTCACTCATCATAGATAACAGGACTGAAATTTATTGAAATACCACCGTTAATGTAAGAAAAATACAAGATAAAAAAAAATTCATGCATTTATGTCAACATGTTTAAGTATACTTTAGATAATACAGCTCTCAATTTCTTTAGTGATTGCTTGGTGTTGGCTGTACTCCGCCTTAACATAAAAGGCAGTGTTATGACGAATATACAGTATTTATGATGATACCATGTGAAAGTAGTATCAAAACATAATATTGTCTACTAGTATGTACATGTAATTTGTCTCAAAAGACATTCAGCAACCTAAATATAAAAAAAAAGATGTGGTAAGATTGCCAATGAGACAATTCTCCACAAGAGACCAAATGACACAGAAATTAACAACTATAGGTCACCGTACGGCCGTCAACAATGAGCAAATCCCATACAGCACAGTCAGCTATAAAAGGCCTCGAAATGACAATGTAAAACAATTCAAACGAGAAAACAAACGGCCTTATTTATGTACAAAAAATGAACGAATAACAAATATGTAACACATAAACAAACGACAATATAGGATAGGCACATACATACAGAATGTGGCGGGGTTAAACATGTTAGCAGGATCCCAACCCTCCCCCTAATCCTGGGTCAGTGGTGCAACAGGACACTACAACAACTGTACAAAACAATAAACAATTAATTCATATAACCAACAGCAAGAACCACCCAATTACAGGCTCCTGACTTGGGACAGGCACAAATAGAATGTGGCGGGGTTAACATTATAGCGGGATCCCAACCCTCCCCTAACCTGGGACAGTAGTGTAACAGTACAATATAAGAACGAACTATAAAAATCAGTTGAAAGAGGCTTAACTCATTAGATGGATAAAATACAAATACTACAAATACAAGTAAAATACTAATAATTATTTGTTTATTACCATTTATTTCCCATTTTGTCATTTCCCCTATGATTTGATGTTCTTCGTTGGAACTCAGACTGAGGTCTTTAACTAGCTTCTCCATCAGCTGGAATGAATCTGCATACTTTACAGCGTCCCATTCAGTGAAATCACAATGAGCCCAGGGATTCCTTATATTTTTCCGTACCTGACATGATAGGAAATGTATACTACATTTATAACTTGTATTCAACGACTAAGATACAACAATTGTTGGCAATCTTACAATTGCTACCAAAACATCACAGTTGTCACTACATTTCTGTGGTACTCATAAAGAAATTAAAAAAAAAATGTTATTTTGCTATCATGTGACAATGACTTTCTTAATCAAATTGAAAAAAAGATGAATAAAATGTTTTCTGAAAAACATATTCACTCTATGGAAAACTGACTGATTATTGAGAGTTGAAAGATTCGACAGCTTTACCAGGTATCAATTAGATACAAAAAACTTTTAATCTTGAAGACGATATTGTTTTCAAATCGAAAGTCTCTTTCACCGATAATACAGCATTTCAAACATTTGATTTTTGTATTTACTTTATTGATTTTATCTCCGTCAAATGATGAGTGTTTCAATACTTAAGTGCCTGATTCACATAATGCATTGCATCTGTTCTGTTTGTTTTGTAATTTTAGTCATTTGATCATCTGCACCAATGGTTTACATACATTTCTCGTAAACAAAAATAGAGAGTTAAAGTAATTTGAGCATGTCAATTTATGTTTAAGATATCTTTGTAAATGTAGTTTCTCTCATTATAACAAACAGAGATTTATAGTCATTTGAGGATATAAGCTTATACGTTACATAACTTTGTAAATGATGATTCTCTAGTTATAAGAAATAGAGATTTATTGTCATCTCAACAAATTAAATTTATTTTACAAACTATTTTAAATGAAGGTTCTCCCGTAGTCACACATAGTGATTTATAGTGATGTATAGTCGTTTGTGCATATTAAATAATGTTTGACATAAGTTTGTAATTGAAGTGTCTCTAGACAAAAAGTTACTCAAATTGTGTAACATTGTTTTGCAAAGGAAGATCGTTACTATGAATCACTGGCAAATATTATATCTTAACAATGAAACATCGATTTTTGGGGACACAAATGATAGGTCATATCAGTTTACACAGATGCTTACATCTTCAGCATCTGACTTTACAACTGGAAAGAACTTATCAATGTTGATGATTAATCCAAGCACAGCGGAGGAGTCGCATGTTTCATCAAAACCTGTATAGTGTGCCATGTGTGGTTGTAGAAATAGCTTGGATAAATCAACAACACTCTTGATTGTGTAGTCATACTTTGCCTTCTGATAACCATACGTTGCTTTGTTGTTGTTGACGGCTTCGTAATTCAGGTAGGCGTTTGTTGGTGGATATTGCTTTAAATGTGTTGGATATGTTTGCGTATCAATCTTCTGATAGCGAATTAGTTCATTATAAAGTACTGTTAAAATTGGAACAATATATTTCCTCAGTGCTGGTGATATTACGCTGTGAAGACATATTCCAACAATCAGCCATCTTTTCTGGTTATCATCTAAATCTGCTAGATTTGCTATAAATAAGGATTTAAATATTATTGCTTTTTATAATCCGTCAAATGCAGAAAACCAAATAATTTTCGACATTAATGAAATGTTATTTTAGATTTGTGTATTGGTATTTGTTTTAACAGCTTATGAGTTGTGTATATTTGTTTCTTTCAAACCACTGCATCAATTCAGCTGGTGTAGTACACATCCTCTAAATATAGCCACTGATATGTAACATATATCTACCAATCACAGTTACGACACAAATCTGCTTCTGTTGATCGAATCATCATATTGTCTATATCTTAAACAGTGGAATGCAGATAAAAAGACTTACACTTACATAAGAAACTGCCTGTACCAAGTCAGGAATATGACAGTTGTAGTCAATTCGTTTGATGTGTTTTATCTTTTAATTTTGCCATTTGATTGGGGACTTTCCGTTTTGAGTTTTCCTCGGAGTTCAGCATTTTTACTTTTTTGACATGGTGTGGGAAAGGGATATCACTGGTTTTAGTTTTCATTAAGAACAATTGTACACAGAGTGTAGATTTATCAATCTTACCGGAAAAAAATTAGTTGAGGCGCAATAAAGATGTCATTTGTGTACAAATGAGGAGATGTGGTATGACTGATAATTAAACACCTATCCCCAAAAATTCAAATAAAATTATAGTAAACAAATGTAGGCCACCGTACGGCCTTCGACAATGAAAACCCTTTGTGTGATCTGATGAGTTAAACCTTTTCCAACTGCATTTTAAGAATTAGTTTTATGTTTTGTTGCAAAATCACCGGAAAAAGGGACAATTCAATTGATGTATTTAGCTGCTTTCTGTCATATTTCTTTATCGTTCATTGGTTTGTCATAGGACAGTTCCTTTGTTTTCCTATCTAAACTGTTTCACATTTTTGTACTAGTATGCTGAGACTTTTGAAGATTTCTATACAGTCTGGATTTAACTCATTTTTGAAAGTCATTAATTAATCTACAGTTGCAAATATGCATTTGGTCTCTGATGATAAATGTCTAATCTAGCAAACCACATTTTCAATTGTTTTATTTCATTTTATATGGTATATCAGAAACATTGATATATTTTAACATCCTATAAAGATGAATAAACCAAATAAATGTAAATGGATAGTACTGAGATTAAACATTGCTTATGCGAACGTAACCTGATATGAACATTGGTTTACATTGACATATTCTTAAATGAACCATTATATAACAACAGATCTTTAACTATCACTTCTGCAAAAGAGTCATGCAAAGTTATTTTTCAAACCGACCGTTATGTTAAAATTATAGTTTGAAGTCACGATATGAAGTATACGTTACTGTACCTGTGGCATCCTTATAGTCAAGTCAAGTACATTAACTAGTTGAAAACGGCAACCGAAAAACTTAAAATGTCTTTCGACCCGTGTAAAATTCGATCAAACAGAGAGGAAAACAATTCCAAGTGTCAATATGTAAGGATACTCGATGTGGTAAAAGTGCAGTAATCTACAGGTATATCGGAAGAGAACTTAAGACATAAACCGGACAAACAAAAATTGATAATACCAACATGACATGTAAAAATGAAAATTTGATATGCTGTATTGAATGCCGCGGATGCAAAAAAAGAAAAACAACGGACAAACCGGATGTATTTCAATCGGGAGAACGCAGATTTATCGAAAACGCACCAGTCAGCCGCAATATAGGAAAATCACAATGATCGAACATTTAGATCGTTGCGGAAGAGGGCTTTTTCAAATTTTCCCGTTCCATGACAATGCAGACTGTGACATCACGGTGTCAATCAAGAAACTTAGTTTGTATCCAAATTCAAGCCAATGACAATGCGCAAGATTTTCAATAGCGTTACAATTTGCTTTTCATATTTTACTGTAGGACAATTTTTACTCGTTATCTCCCTTTTATAATTTTATAATGACGTTACTTTCTTTACGAGCGTCTTTAAGTTACAATTATTCACTTTCTAAAAAACGGTCCGTCAAACGTAAAAAAAAATGTTCTCAATAAAAACAAATTATAATAGAGTAATAATGTCAGGTAACTTAATGTGCTTATTGAATGAGCTATAGATACCTGTTACTCGTGGTAGTTTTGCAGCTATCCCGTCGATTTCCTCCTGTAATTCTTGTGGTATAGAAGTTTTTAGGCCTCCTGATGTTGAAGGTAGTTTCTCCATGTTGAACAAGTAGTTTTAGTACTGTATATGTCCTCTCAATGCATTGTTATCGTTTTTCTATTCTCCATCGGTATTTTTGGTAATACTGGCAGCTATGTTTTTATTGCCCATTATTTCTGGAATTATAAAAGTAGCATACAGTTTGTCATTGATCAGTTAAAAGGTTCTTATCTGTATTGATTGTTTAACTTGTATTTATACATGTTATAAACATATTTATTTTTTTTTAAAGTAAGTAACTTTAAATGTTCTTTCTCTGAAATTTATAAATATTGCTAACTGATTAAATTACCTATTTTGTACAATACCTATCTTTATATAAACCATGTTAACCGGGAAAAGCTATTTTTACACAAAATGTACAAGTATTAAGAAACTGTACTTTATGATTAAGTGTCAAGTACGTGTTACTTTCTTATTAAACTCGAAAGACTTCTATGTAAATCGGAAAAGGCAAATTATCTTCAATAATTGAAGAAAAAATATCTGAAATTGCATGTTTCTTTTATCAATGTTAATAAAGCTATTATAATACCTACGAAAATTGCCTTTTTAGACCGGAAGTAGTTTATCATCTCCGTTATGTAATCAAACAAAGGAGCCTTATATTTTTATGGTATCAACAAAAACACGGTGGTAATATCAGGTGCATGTACACTTTACTATCACAATGTAAGATAGAAAGGCCTTCAATTGTTCTACAAAAGTGAATATCAACCTTTCTAATTGTAATTAGGGAAGCAGCTAAATGCAGAACAATTAGATGTATAAGACTTACAAGAATCCAAGATAAAAAGCTAGTTTACAGGTTTTTGTATGTAGTAAAGATATCGATACAAATTAGTCGATATCTGTCGGTCATTAATAAAACCTTGGTAGAGAAGATTTACGTTGTGAAGTATGAGTAAAATGAGCATAGACGCACTTGACCTATTCAATGAGATATGTTTAAACTACGATATGGGACATGTATGTTGGTATTGACAAATGGAAAGCTTTAAATGTTCTTTCTCTGAAATTTTATAAATATTGCTAACTGATTAGATTACCTATTTGGTACAATACTGAACTCATCACGTATTCAGAGGTTCTTGTTTAAGGTAGTTCAGGGGTACAGAAAAAAAATGACAAAATTTTGTTATACTTTGCCAAAATGAAGATTTATGCTTTTTCAAAACAATGATAAAAAGTATGGGTCACCGCGCTATTTTTCAAGGTACGAGTCGTTCAAAATTGCCAAAATTTGCTTAGATTGTTCATGTAAAAAACACATGTGTGTGCATACAAAGAAATCTATGTGACAGAATTTTGAAATAAAATATGAGAAGATAGGTTTTATAATATGTGTTAAGAAAATAAAAAGAAAAAATGATGTCACCGAACTTGTTTTCTTGCTACAAGTAAAAAATGAAAATTTCCCTATATGTCCAGTATAAATTTATACTAAGAGTCACCCCTTAAATGACTTATTTGAAAAAATAATTCTATAAGCACAAACATTTGGTATTTGTTAAAACATTTTCGATAATGCAATGAATAACTAAGTTTTCTTTATATAAATAAACAGTGTTACCAATACATTGCAAATCTGTTTCCAAATTTGCAGATTTGGGCAAAGAACTAGACCGATTATTTACTGTGATTGTACAATTCAAGATGGCGATAAACCCCTGAACTACCTTCAGGTCATCTATATTTTGTAAATTTCAAGAAAAACATCCAGTTACGAAGCAGTTAATTGATATCAATTATTCTGCAGACTATATTTGTATGAATAAGTATAAGCTGAATAATTATTACCTGACGATCAGTTAAGAAAAAGAGTTACAAATCTATTTTTATATTAAGAAATATAAATTTAAATAAGAAAACAGAAAATTTTCAAATAGCCAAACAACACTTTATTAATTCCATGCGTTCGCCGCTTTTTTTGATTTAACATTCACATGATTCACCAGGATGTATGAATGCCAATGAGATATAAGAAAACGAAAGTTATTGTAGTAAAATACCGTTAAACCCCTGCATTCAAAGATTATCTAAGAGTAGAGGTCTTTAAAAATCAATATATCAAATTGATTACATGTTGTGAATTTCTGAGAGAATAACACAATTAGTAGACCATGTGACATCCACATAATATCACCATACCTTTTAAACTCAAAGTGCCTTTCTATTTGCCTTTTTTATTATATATATATATTTATTTTCACTGAGAATTTAGATTAGGCACAGTAAATGAATCACAGTTGCGTCCACCTTATGTGAAATTATTTGAGTTCAATGGATTTTCATTTTACATTGTATTATTTTGTATATAATTTTACTAATGAAAAAACAACAGCACATTATATAGTATAAACATTTTTTTTCAAATTCAAACGACAATAATTTTAAACAATTATTGTAGGAATGAGTACGTAAGAGTTATTTAAAAAGAAATGTCCTGTCTCAATGCATATTGACTTTATTAAGTTTAACCACATTTGATGGATTACCTAAGACTCTGTTTCTCTAACTTGACATTTTTCTATGATATTATTTCAATTAAAGTCCCAGCCAGTATATCCAATTACAGTTATCAGAAAAGACATATTGAGTTTGAAATGTTGATGTATGCAGACAATATTTCATAAGATCAGGAAAATTTATTCGTATAAAACAACAGTGAAGCAACATAGAGGTATTATATAGCATTATGATGTTTCTTTGGTTATCATCATAAAAACCTAATAAAACATTGCTTTTGCCATTTGCAAAATTTATAGTTTGTTATATTGAAACGATTAATTATTATATTGCATATAAGTTCCAGCAATTTCAAAATTATCTTAATGAGCCGAAACATTCCATAACAAATTTCTTTTTATTTCTGTTTGAACATCAACTATCTAGGAATACTTCCACGCTTCAAGGTTTTTACATTCCAATAAAATTATAAAAAATAGGCATACAATTTTTAAGAAAAGGAGATGTCTATGGTATACTCAATGAACTGTAATTCAACTATACAACAACTCTTTTAAGTAATCATAGTTCCTACATTATCATCAGCTTAGTCTAGTTTTACTGTCTGTAAAAGAAACCGTGTCCACTTATAGGGGTAGCGGGACTTGTAGAAAAAATTCAAATCAAGATGATATTTTAGCTCCGACATTGTTACATATTTTCAGCACCAGATATATCTGGTTACTGTATTTTCGATAGCCTTTTCTAGCACAAAATGCTCAAAATGAATGGTACGCACCATGTTTACATCGCAAAAAAATAATATATGCAAAAATGTTTGAATATACAGTTTTACATGGCAATATTAATTCGATAAAACAAATCTCGGAAGAAATTTGTAATATGCAACATAACCGTTATTAGATTAACAAAGTATTGAAAATAGCACTGATGTTTTCTGTCAATTTTATGAACTATGCAAACATATTATTATTCACCAAATATATGAAGTTCGTCATAAACTTTCACATAATTATGACCTGAGAAGAATTTACCCATTCTTCTAGGTTCGTTTTTGTCATATGTCCTCCTTCACTTGTTTGAGTTTGAGTGTTCCTGGTGTGTGGAAAACACATAAAAAAGTCAGATTGATGCGGACAAAACAATACATTTTGTAGTGTTTCAATTTTAGTAAAAGAATGATATGACCACTTTTCATACCTTATTTTTTTTAAATCAAACCGTATTATACATATTGCGATATTTTCATTAATGGTATCTTATCAAAGGATGTGCGTAAAAGGTCATTTTAAGTCGAATACGTATACACATCTGCTTGTTAGAATGTGAAAGAATGATTGAAATCGACTGTAAATACATTTTTAGGTCAATGTCGCGATTTGGTTTACCTCTACAATCAGTGTATCAACTCGCAAGAGTAATAATTTCGTATTCTTAAGATTCAATAAACCAAAATAGTCGTCTAATTTGTAGCTTTACTAATTTTTTCCTGTGCCCAAATTGTGTGGATTTGTATGTTTGGAGATGCATGCGTTGCACGAAATGGTACCGCTATCAACGAGTGTATATCTGATTTGAAGACGATGTACATTCACCATCTGCTATTTACCGCAAGCTTACAAAATACAAAGTTGATATATAATGCAGTGTAATATTCTTTGGATTTTGATATATTGAAAAGTTTACTCGATTCTATTTTTATAAATGTGTTGATGCTCGTAGTCCGTAGCAATAATCCCTGTATTGTAAACTTTTAAAATAATGTCTTCCCTAGACAGAAACTGCTGAATGTTTTGGTCTAATATGTGACAGCAAAAACGTTAACACAGCGACGACATGTGTAACCAATTTGTGTTCAACGAATCACCGAATTTATTGTATCAGTTGTATTGTGTAACACTTTCGTCCTTTATTTCATTTAACTATTTAAACAAAGGCACTGGCAAAGACATTCTACTGATATGTAATTTTAAACTTTCAAAGGTTTTTTAACAATGAAGAAATACACGACCATGACATGACTATTCAGATCTTTTGTTTCCTTACGATAAAATGTTTCGTCTTACAGTTTTAATTATTTTGTCATTTGTAATAATTTAATTCCTTTCTAAATGAACGATTTTGGAGAAAAACAACTTTTAAATACATGTGCTGAAGCAGAGCGGTCTTCAATAAGTTAAACATGTTTAAAACACGGTCGCAGATTACCTACCATACTTTCAAAGATACAAGATGTTTATTTCAGATGCAAGTTGGTCATCGATATCAAATCAGTATACTAAATGTATCCAAAGATTCACAAAACATACGCAGGCACGAATATATGGTTATTAATCTTGAGATGTATTATGTTAAACATACTTGATATACCGCGTAGGTAGTGCTGTAAAATATGTTCCGTTAATTTTATACGATAACTAAGTCAATACCAATGCTGTTGATCTTCGACACTACTACCAGCTACAGAAGTACTATCTGTTATAGTAACATAAAACTACTGACATTGGTTACTTTCAACATGTTAAATGTGCTTTGACATTCTAAGTTATGGAATTTATCTTATTATAAAGGCAACAGTAGTATACCGCTGTTCGAAATTCATAAATCGATTGAGAAAAAAACAAATCCGGGTAACAAACTAAAACTG